CACACATTGAACGCGGACTGACACTTCTTGGCTTTATTTATGTTACATTTATGTGTGCTACATTTTCCGTTGACCGCTTTCCGTTTTCCCGTTTTTCGTGTACAAATTTCGCCAGCTCTGCACAATTTTTTGTTTCGGCCAGTCATGCTGTCCATTTCCTAAATACATTTATCTCCCATCAAGCTCTCCATTTAGTTTTGTGCAGTCAAGAATTGTGCGAGCGAACCACATGAATTTCAGGGAAAATGCGTGGCCAACGGGTTGTTGGCCCATAGGCGTCATTGAGACGGCGGCTCCGGTCCCTAGGCGCCAGCTAAACGCGATCTGCAGTGCGTTGTCCGTTTTTATATGATTTTTAATTTATTTGTATACGTATAGAAATATATATAGAAATATATATAAATATGCTGTATACTCTACTTGGAGTGTAAATAGGTGCATATTAGCTTGGCTATCTATTGTTATAGAAACTGAAGTTATTAATATGAGCAAGCTGAAAAATTCATATATTTATTCACATAGATAGAAGTTTTTCTATTAGTCTATTTCTTCCACAATGCTTGGCAGAGTCTCGACTTTTTCCTTCAGTCTTTTTCAGCTCATATTCATATGTGAGCAAGTATTGTGCAGTCGCCTATGCCCGCTTTCAGCTGTTTTCTTTTTGTTTGGCTGACCAAATGGTGCCAACTAGACGCTGCGCAAAAATTGTTAACGATTTGCCAAGTAAATGTAAATTGGGTGCAATGCACGACAGTGCGTATGCGTGATGTTTGCCAGATAGACAATATAAAAAAAAAAAAAGAAAAATATATGTAAATAAATGAAAAGAATGGGGACAGCTTACATCTGGACTTGGGCTAAACAATTTTTTTTGGCAAAGTCTTCGCATTTTTTAAAGTTAAAACTAGAATCTAAATAGAAAATGCCAGAAAATGTAGATTACATAACCTAAGATATGCAGGCTTTACGAATAACTGAGAATAAAGTTACATTTTAATTAAATATTAATAAAATCATATTCAAGTAGTTTGTTAGTTTATATTAGCGTAAACAGAAATTGGCCCAGTATAATTTTAGCTATTCGATTATATATTCTCTCCATCCCTTTTATTGCTTACTTGATATCAATTTGATTATGGAATCTCTGATTTTCTGGTGTCTACGCAAAATAATAAAATAAATCATTCAAATCTTCTAATACCTCACATATCCTAACATACTAACTAATGTCTCAAACATTGTAAATTGCACAGCTCAAGCAAACTCTTAGCCCTGCTGTCTTTAATTTGAAAACTTCCTTTTCTGTTGTTATTTAGTGAGTATTTGCCAATTGTGAATTATTGTAGAGAATCAAATGAAATGCAATACGCGTGGCCATAAATCATTGAACGGAAATCCCAGTTACAAATTCTATGCATGCAAATCAATTGCTCAATTGTTTCAATTGAGGCGCAGTCAATACAATAAAATACGAATATGCCCATCCAATCCCTAGACCTGACACGCGGCTCAACCAGGGCGCAGCGGGCACAGCAAAACAAGTCGCTGGCCATAAATAAATATAGCATAAGCCCAGCGAAGCCCTTCGTTAAAAAACGTCGGAAAAATACAAAAAACGAGAAAGAGGCGAAACAATAATCGCACATAGAATATAAATTTCTGTGCGCTGCAGCACAATAAACTTAATTTGCAAATTCAATTTAAATAATACCACACAGCGAGCAGAGCTAAAAAATATATATGTACCTTACACATTGTACACACACATGTATATATACATACGTATATACTTTTTAGTACATCAGCAATATATATATATATATACATATTGCGAGTCTATATAAAACATCACCGCAACAAATTCAATTGTCTGGATTTAGTTTTGTGCCAGCTGCTTCTTTTTTTTGCCAGCACGAAGGATTAAATTTGTTTAACTGGCATAAATTGTTGGAATTGAAATTGTTTTCTATTGCCAGTGGAATGTGCGCTCCGATAAAGAACAGAGTAATATAGAAAAAAAATTAAAATATATAAAAAGTTGTATGAGAGCATATTTTAAGTTAGTTTAAAAAGACATTTTTTTTTCTCATATGCGAATGTTATGTAATTGGCATTTGCATGTGGGAAAAGCACATAGTTGATACAAGGTTTCATTTGGGTTTTTTATTTTTATGAATGTATATTTATTTATATATTATTAAATAAAATTTCCTAGCACTAACAAAAATATACACATACATTTTCATTATTTTAATGCCTAGAAAATTTACTCAATAATAAAAAAATAAATTTATAATAATAAAATGTAGTACCTAGATGAAACTATGGACATCACTTTGATTCATATAAACTGAGATGTTTTTTTTTAGCATTATTAAATTTTACTATTAGCTCAAGACGATTCACACGAGCTTTAAATTAATCGCTTAATCTTTTATCTAATCGACTGATTATATATTTTTCATAATCCACATATTCATGCAATAAAAAAATATATAAGATAAAGTTTTCTCAGTTTCAAGAAAAAGCAATTCTCGTTCTTAAATAATCTCTTGAGTTTGCGCATGTCGTAATTTTTTGCAGCTGCAAAAATGAAATTGAATTTAATGCTTGAATTATTTTAATTTCCTTTGGACACCGACCGTGTCCAGCGTAAACTAATAAACGACAAAGGCACGTACGCACCTCTCACAATAAACTTGCTGCGGCTGCGAATGCGGCTGCGTCTACGGCAATTGCTGCAAATGATGAAATGCAGCACTGTCAGCCACATTGATGACATGTGTGTGTGTGTGCGTATGTGTGGATGCATGGATTCATTGCCCAGCCACAAATGGCATTGACAACTTGTCGCGTTTGAGGTGCGAGAAAGCGGAAATTAAAAGATGGCAGGCACAATATACCAAGCTGACTTGCATGGGAAGGCAGGCGAAAGCCAGCACACTTTTACCATAAATTACAAAAAAATGCAAATAATTAAATATATGCAAGATAATCAAAGAAAATATATACAAATGGTAGGCAAAAATATATTAACAGCTGCCAGCTGAAGTTAAATTTGTATTATATGTATAAAATAAAAA